AATTATACAAAATTATTTCTTTTAAAGTGCATTTAAAGAAGAAGAAAAAGTTTTTTCATCATTATTAACGACTAAAACAAACTTTTATATATAATCAAGAACAAGATATGCAACAAAGAATCTTAACAAAATCAGTAAAAGGAAAATTTGTCATTTGATAATTATTTATTGTGCATATAGCTTCTGCAATAATACTAGTTTTTATAATTAAAAGATATATTTTTATATAACGAATTCAATTAACTGGAACTGTAAATATCAAAATAATAATGAATAATAATCTGTATGTACGGTTAATCTGTTCACAGTTTGAATTTTTTTTTTTTAATTATCTTTTTGCTTCCGAATTTTTTTGACAATTTTTCTTTTTAAGGGGACATTCCAGTTCAAAATGTAAAAAAAATCGATTTTTTGTTGTTGTTATTTTCGGATTTCTTATAGTGTCAAGAATACTCTCCTAAAATATTATTGCAAAATTCGAAGTAAATCAAAAGTTAAACATCCTTATTCTTCACTATGTCAAAGATGTTTTTGTATGCGGATAAGCAATTGAATGATTTAAGGGGGGAACCTCCTTTAGACGATCGAAAAATGCATCATTTTTGGGATCTTTTTTCTCGGGTAAAATAACTCCAAACGTTTTGTAATTTATAGGGTACTTTAATACATGTCTTGAGAGTCTAACAAAATTTTTGGAGAAAAAACAAAACATTTTTAGTATGGAAATATACACCGCGTCCATGGCACCTCATTTTATCTGTGAACATTCTAGCGCTCTGAATTTTTTTCTAAAACAAAGAAACCAACGTTTTTTTTAAACTTTAGGATAATACCTTCTATATGACATTTCGATTTTTTAAAAAAAATTTCGAGAATTGATTTTTTTACCCACTTTTAAGTTAAAAGTGATTTTTCGTGCATAAAAATTGACTTTAAAATTCCAAAAAAATATGAAAAATTTTTTTTTTCAAGAAACACTAAATGTCATATTGAAGATTATTTAATTATCTTTAAAATGATGTATCATAAAGCCCGATTGGTTCAAAAGGGCGTTCTCAATCGTGTTCACAAAATTAAAAAATGGTGTTTCGAGAAAAATGCGTTTGAAGTTTTTTTTAAATAAATAATAAAGTGACTCGAATGTCAAACAAATGAAAGAAGGGTTGTCACATAGAAATTACAAATTATACTGACAGTGGTACTCTGAATGAAAGAAGAAGGCAGATTAAATGCTAAAACAAAAAAAATTCTGGACTCTGGTAAACATTTCACCAGACGACGCATGAAAAAAAAAATAATTAAAAATTTTGTAACTTCTTCAATAATACAGAAATCGACTTAAAATTTGATGGGTATATTCTTGAATAGTTGTAGAATCAATTAAAATTATTTCCAGAAAGTCGATTTTTTTGACGTAATAAAAATGTTTTCTCACTTTCATTTTTTAAAAAAGACAAACAAAAATGTATTTGGTGTTGCTGATCACAAATTAGATATCAAATTTTCAAAATTCAAAATGGCGGATCCAATATGGCGGAAAACAAAAATTGTTTCATTTTAATTTTTTTTTTCGTTTAATTTTTTTTTGTCCACCATATTGCATCCGCTATTTTTAATTTTGAAAAACTGATGTCATATTTGTAATCAGCGACCCCAAAAACCCCCCCGTAACGATTTTCAAGCAAATCCGATGATTTTTTAAAAAAAATTTCGAAACTTATGAACAAAAACTTTGAATGCGTTTTTCTCAAAATGTCTTTTTTGATCTGGTAAGAGTGATATCTCGAGTTCTTCTAAAGCGATTTTCAAAAATCAAACGGCTTTTGATTCAGCGTCATTATGCCTATAATTGGAACCTCAAAAAGTGGAAAATTTCCAACTCCCTTTTTTTTATAAGAGAAATTCTGAATAAAAACACCTTTTTTTGCATGTTTTGGGAAAAAAGTACTCTAAAAAAAAGGGGGGAAAAAAATTCCACTTTTTTTAGGTTCCACACCTAAAGAAATATGGGACCATCCATAAACCACGTAGCTCCGATTTTTGAACTTTTTGACCCCTCCCCTCCCCCACGTAGCTTAACGTAGCATATTACCGAACCCCCTCCCCCCTACCTAATGGAACGTAGCTTTTTTCTTTTTTTATGAATATTAAATTCTCTTTTCTAAAAATAATCAATAAAATCGTATTGAAACATAGTAAACAATATTAAATGTTTTTAAATCACAGTTTATTTTTTTCTTTGACAAGTAAGAGTTTGATACAAGACTAATTCTTAATTTTAATCGATATTTTTGTATATATATGTATATTTTTTCATCACTATATATTTTATCAATATATGTGGACGTCCACATGAAAAGGGCCTATATTGTCGGTTCTAGTTTTCGAGATAATCACAATTTAGTAATTTTGGAGCAAAATCTTAATTTTTAAAAATTTTTTATTATCAATCTACATGTTTTGACAAGTCGACTCATGCGGTTTTCATTAATTTATCGATAATTTAACTGTTTGATTTCATTGGTTCTTTAGAAAATTGAAAAGGGCCCATTTTGGCGGTCATTTGCAAAATTAATCCGTATTTTAAAAATAGAGGTGTGGAAAAAATTTAAAACCTCTTGATTTTTCATCTTTAAGGTATCCTGGACTGTAAACAATTCTTATCTGAATAACTTCCCAGAAGAACCAGAGATATTGATGTTAGAGTCTTTTTTTCGTAATTGTCGAAATGAAAATTTGAATATTACGTTAATTTTTTCATAATAGAAACTGTCAAAAATTTTTAAATAAGTTTAATATCTATCCTTTTTCTTCAAATGACACAATTAAATTGTACCTAATAATTAATCTTGTTAAAAAATGGTTCTTTAATAGAAAAACTGTCCTTTTTAGAAAAAAAAAGTTTTTCGTATTTTCAAAATTAAGAGAGGGGGGATGGTTTTAAAAATTTAAAACCTGTTGGTTTTTTATCTTCAAGGTAACCGTTTTTCTCGAAATGAGGTTTTTGGCGTTCTAAACTTTTAAATTCGTAACTCAGCGAATTTTTAACCAAAAAAGTTCTAAGACCACTCAAAATTTTCCAACTTTTGCCAGGAATACGCCCATATAGATAACTCCAATAGTGTTAAAATGGGCCCTTTTCATGTGGACGTCCACATATATTTCTCGACTTGACTTTCGAGCTGCCCGCGTAATTTAAAAAAAATGTATGTCAAATAAAAATACAAAGCTACGTTGCTCAGACTAAAAAACCCTCCCTTCCCCCATGTGGTCTAACGTAGCACATTACCGAACCCCCTCCCTCCCCAAAACAGGCTACGTGGTTTATGGATGGTCCCTATCTAACGAAGAGAATGGCACTTCGTTTTTGGTTTTATCTGTTTTAGAAAGTTTGAAATCGATCTTACCACCGAAAATGGGCATTTTTGAAAATGGCGTATATCGCCGCTATTTTGAAATAAAAATAAAAATTTTTTTTTACAAATTCTTAAATAAATTATTTATTACATGTAAAAGAAATTTTTTAAATAAATGTCATAGTTATTTTAATAATATATACTAAAAAAGCCTTCTTTTTGCCTGTTTTGAACTGGAATTTCCCCTTAAATGCTTGAATTTAAAAATAAGTTTCTAATTTAATGTTTTGAAGATTACTTTAATATTAACAAATATTTATTAAACAAAATTGTATTGAATAAAAAATCATAATTTAATTTGTAAATTTAATTTAACATTCTAAAACATAAAAATAGTTAGGTATAAATTATTGTAGAAGAATTTGCTAATTTTTATTATTATTTTTTTAATTAATTATTGAACAATTAATTTTATTGATAATCAAGATTCGCGGTAGAGAATCGCCGCCAAGTAAAAAGCAAAAACCGCGAATATATATTCTCGTAATATCGGATGTTTTTTGATAAAATTGAATAACTCGAGTAAATCTTAACCGATTTGGCTCATTCTTTTTTCGTTGAATAAAGAATCAAAAGAGAAAGAATTCTGTTAAGTTTATTCAATACTTTATATAGTTTTATAGAATTTAGGCTAGGAAAACCGAAAAAATAGCGATTTTTTGAGATTTAGACAAACGTGGAGCGTAAACTCCTAAATGGATTTCTGAAATATTCTATAATATTATTAATTAGGTTAAAATCTCGATTTACATTTCAGGAAATTTTAATACACTTGGAATTTTTTGAAAAATTTGAATTTTTCTCAAAAAAATTGAATTTTTTGACATTTAGACAAACGCAGAGAGGAAACTTCTAAACGGAAATGTAAAATATTCTAGAATGTTATTGATTGGGTTAAAATCTGGACAAATATTGCAGGAAATTTTAATTCACTTCGTATTTTTTGAAAAATTTTGATTTTTCTCAAAAAAATCGAACTTTTTGACATTTAGACGAACGCAGAGATTAAAATTCTAAATGGATATGTAAAATATTCTAGAATGTTATTGATTGGGTTAAAATCTCTATATATATATATTGCATAAAATTTCAATACATTAAATATTTTTTGAAAGACTTTAGTTTTTTTTTTAATTTGATTTTTTGACATTTATACAAACGTAGAGACTGAACTATACTTAACAGATTTGTTAAATATTTTGAAATATTATTATGGATTGAAAGCTAGAAATTTATTTTAAAAACTTTAATACATTATTTTTTAATTTTTAATTTATGTTTAAAAAAAAATTTTTAGTTTAATCAAAACATCAATTTTCTCTTCTATTCTTTTTTCATTTTTTTATTATGTAAAAATTTCTGTAAAGAATCATATCTTAAATAAATTATTATTTAAAACTTAATTGTATATTATTTTAAATTATTAGATCAAAGACCACAATATTTTTACAATTAATTATTTCATTTATTAAAAAGTTGAGATGACGCAAAAAGTTTTAAAATCCCAACGAAAACATCTTTGATGCAAAAAGTTCCTCCAAGTAAAAGATTTTGTGACTGTCCAAACAATTAGTGAAATAAAAGTTTACCAAGTAAAATTTATAATTAAAATTTTAATAATGATTCCCAGATAGCAAAATGCCAGAGAGATCGCACCGTATATACCGGCACGCGGGCCGATTCATCGGCCCAACGTAGCGGCAATTACGCAGCGCAATGTACGCGCCATTGCTTGCTATAAAGGCGAGAACACAATCCATGGGTACGCGAGCGACGTGAACGTAAACGTATGACGTCACCCATTTAGTTAACATTGTGACGTCAGCACGTTACACGTTCACGTAGGCTATTCTGTTCTCGCCTTAAGGTTGAGTCCACAATAGATAAATTGGACGACTAACGTGAACGTAACGTTTACGTTTCGTTAACGTGACATGCTCGCAACACGTGTTTGACAGATGTGTAAATCAGGTGTGTAAATACATTTGTTTTTTGTGTTTGACAGTTATTTAACGGAACGTGTAATATTTGTATTTCATTCAAACATGAGTTTGTATAATATTATTATTTTGATAATTATGCAGTGGACAAGTGTTTTTCGCCTTTTATTTATTTTAAAAAAGCAGAGGAGATCCTTTCGACGTTGGTGGGTTAAAGCACATATTAGAAGTCACATGAGAAATGCATTTGGTGCATACGAAAATTTATTTTTATATTTTATGCGCGAAGATCACGAAGAATTTTTTCGTATGACTCGAATGACACCTGATGATTTTGAAGTGCTTTTCAATATTGTTGGTCCACATCTCAAGAAGGTTAGCAGAAGAGAACCTCTACCACCAAGACTCCGACTAGCACTCATTTTAAAGTAAGTAATTTAATTGTTTAAGATTTATAATACAATAATTTTAGAACGATTACCTAGAAAAAAGTAACATAATATTTAAATTATTACTTGTAAATGATTTAATAAATAATTTTACTTAAATATTCAAAATTAATTGTCTTTTAAAAGAGTTTCGTTTACAATTTTCTTAAATAAAATGAACATCAAAGGTTTTAATTTTTAATGAATTTAATTAGAAATTTTAATGAACTTAGATTTGTGAAAAATATTAATAATTCAAATTCTTCTGAAATTAAATATATTTTTAATAGGCATATATTTAATTAATTATTAAAAATAATGGATTTATAAAAGGATTTTAGTTAAAAACACTAAAAAATGTATTTTGGAGATATTGCAAATAATTACAGAAATTCAATAATTTTAAAAAATTTTCCTGAATTAACTGATTTTTAATATATATGTATACCATTTTAATAACATTTTCTAAAAGAATTCAGTTATTTAAAAAAAATTGCATTAAAGAATTTTGAAAAGTATTCAATTTGAAAAATTTTGAAATTGAAAAGTTTCAGGATATTTGAAATTGATTTAAAAAAATTTTAGTTTAAAATTAAAGTAAATAACAATTGGACTGAATAATAATGCAGAATTTTTTTTAACATTTATGGTACTGATGACCCTGCTGGAAGTAAAGAGATACAAAGAGATTAAAAAAAGTGGATAAAAAAGATTAGAAGGTATAATAGTTTGGAGATGCAAAATGGATACTTAAAAGAGATACAAATTGTTTATCTCTTTCTATAACCTTATATTTATATCTCTTTTTATCCCTTCTAATCTTTTTATCATTTATTTATATTTATATTTTTATCATTTTAAAATTGATTTTTTTCATAATTTCGAAAATCGTATCGACGAAAGGTTTTTTGGAATCTAATATCTATTCATACAAAGTGTTTTTATATTATTTATAATATAACTTTTTTATTTATTTTTACGGAAATAACAAAACAAAATTTATTCACCCATAAAAGCCGGACAAGGTACCCTTTTTTTCAAGGAAATAATTTTAATGTTTTTTTTTGTTTTAGCTATTTGGCAAATGGAGACAGTGTAAGAACAACCCAACACTTATTCAGGGTAGGGCGTTCGACGATTTACAAAATGGTGCATGAAGTATGTGAAGTCATTTTTCGTCAATTATCTCCATGGTACTTACGTGAAAGAACTACTCAAGAATGGCGAATAATATCTGAAAGTTTTCGAGTAAAGTGGAATTTGCCCCACTGTGTAGGAGCTTTGGATGGCAAAGAGTTTGCCATAAATAAACCACCACACAGTGGAAGTCTTTACTACAACTATAAAAAATTCTTCAGTATTAAGCTATTAGCAATTTGCGATGCTTACTGTCGCTTTACGTGGGTCGATATAGGAAATTATGGTAAACAGATATAAAAATATAGTAATAAAAAATTCAAAAAAGCATGACTCCGATTCAAATTGATTCCAATTCACATTTCACTGTAATGTCACATGTAATGCTACACTGTAAAAAAAAATTAGGTTTTTATACGACAAAATAGAAACAAAAAAACTAGGTTTTTTATCAAAAAAAATTAAAACCGCGTAAAAACAGAAATTTATAATTTTTAAATAATCCTAGTTCTGCGGCGATAGCCAAAATTTCATAAATTAATGGGTAACACCACTTTAAAGGCAGAAATGGAGACCAATTCTTCATGATTAGTTTTGAGAAAATTTAAAAAGGAATAGGCTTTCTTTTTAGAGGGTTTGTTATTCCATTTTATTATTATTATTCTATTCTATTTTCGTTGATTTTATATCAATCAATCTGTTAGAATCTTTGTCGGCGATAGACGGCCTTTTTTTACTTGAAAGAAATTTGAATTTACTATTGAAATACTACTCAATATATGGTGAAAATTTTAAAGTTATAATTTTTCATGGTTCTTCAAAAAACCCCTGAAAACACTTAAAAACAAACGTCATCACATTGTATGACCCCTTTAGCTCTCAGTAGAGTTGTACTTTCACACCCAACAGTTCATTCTTTTTCTTTTTACTTCAAAAGCATGTGAATTTTATAGAATCCTGTTTGAAGATATATTTTAACTCCTTTTTTTACAGTGCTATTAACATTACATGTAACATTACAGTAATATTACGTAGCTATTTTGGTCGACTTGACAACAAAAGCAGTAATTAATGTTTATATGCGTTTTAGGTTCTGTAAGTGATTTATCGGCATGGAGGAATACTGATTTTTACAAGGCTCTACTTCAAGATCTGATTCCTCTGCCTCCAAAACGTACTTTACCAAGGTCTACAATTGTAATGCCATATTTTTTCATAGGAGACGAAATTTTTACACAGCGTTATTCTTTTTTGATGTCTCCCATTCCCCGCCGCCGTGTTCTCAGTGATGAACAGAAATATTATAATTATAGGTATGTACATACATACAAACAGCTTATACCATTCAAACAAAAACTTTTAAGAAATTCATTTCATATATTATAATTTATGTTAGATTATCGAGGGCAAGGCAAACAATCGAAGCAGCTTTTGGTTTATTGGTATCCATGTGGCAAATATTCCAGCATCCGCTAAGATTCAAGCTAGAGACGTGTATGATGGTTGTGTTGGCAACAATTTGTTTGCATAATTTGATAATAACAAGAAAGTTGGAACGAGAAGAAGAGGTACCTTTGCCGGAAAATCGAGAAGGTAAACAAATAATGAAATATTTTTTTTTATTAATCGAATTTTTACTTGCTATTGGGATTTGAAATCACGTAAAAACGACCCATCGCTATACCTGCTTTCGGAAACCATCTTGGTTTTTTATCTCTTTTTAACATATGCTCCAGAAAGAGAAAAAAAACCACGAAAGCTTCGAAAGCGTGTAAACACCAGATGGCCTATCGTAGAATTTCAGATTCCAATATGGTTCGGAAAGGGTTAAGCGGGGCATACTAAAATCTACAATAAAATATAATTATCTTTCTACATAAAACATAATTTTAAAACAATTTATTATTTAGAACCTGATGAAGAGGAAGTTGAAAACGAGGAAGTGGAAGAAGTCAACAATATCGATGTACAACTAATGATCCCTCAAAATGTTAGGCAACAAATTGATTTTTTTGTTGCTTATCTGAATTCCGATGCTGGCCGCTTGTTCTAATTTTTGCTATATATTTTATTGAAAAAGACAGTAATTTCGAGGGCAGTTAGACTTCATTGATCAGTTTTAATACTGCATTTAAAAAATATTTTCTTAAGGAACTGGTGGAATTTTATGTTCCTTCAATGAATATTTTGACCAAGTTCGATGATAAGTTGCGTTTAAAAACTCTCAATTCATTGGCTCACGTGTTAATTTAGAAAATCTTGCTTCTCATCTTCGGCGAAATGAAATGAAATTGGATAAAAATATAGCAAATAAGAATTTACCTATTTCGATAATTGGTTAAGTATATTTTATCAATTTTTTTATCTCTATAATTTTTACTCAATTTTAATCTTTAAAAACTTAGATTAATTAATAATTTTATTATTATTTATTGCAACACTAACCTCAATGTTAAATTTCTTAAAATAATAAATAATACATCTAAATTGTTTCTATCAATTATAAATTTAATTAATTAAAAGTAAAAAAAAAATTTTAAATTGAATTTTGAATTAATAGTAAATTAATTATAGTTTTCATCGACTTACATATTCAGTTACTAATGAAAATTTAAACGATTCTAAATTTAATTTATCCAAATACCAATAAATATTTATTTATAGTACTATTTGAATCAAACAATGTAATCAAATTATTAAGAAAAATTAAAACAAGCGTTGGGCGATTTTTTCATCTACCAATTTCTTCAATTTCAAAAAGCAATCCTTTCTTTTTTCTTCAGGAACTTTTTTCCAATAATCTTTAATGACGAAAAAATAATCATTGACAGCTTCAAATCGTCTAAGATCTGTTTCTGTGTCAGATTGATTTCTTTGACCTGAAAAATATTAAATTTATTAATTTATTTATTACTTGCTATTATTTTCTATTAATTTATTTATTACTTGCTATTATTTTCTATTAATTTTCAAAATAAATTAATAATTTTCCATCTTAAATAATAAAAATAAAAAAATTGTTACTACAATCAATTGTTACCTTCTTCAATTTGTCGTAGTTCATTATTATCATCTTCGCCACTACAAGAATGACAATTCTCATCATCAATAATTTCACAATCCTCCATATTTTGAAAATTGTCATCAATTAATTCGATGTCTCCAGCGGAGTCATCGTCCATTTGTTGGCAGGGCAAATGATAAGTTGCCAAAGTTCTAAATAAAAAACGGATAAATTAGTCTTTAATCTTTCCAGAAATTTAAATCACAAACATAATCTTCCAAGTCTGACTCCAAAAAAAAAAAATTATATCGGACTTTAAAGCACTTTCAAAACCCAAATTAAAATTTTTTTCAAATTCCTTCGTTTAAATATGAGATAAAGTAAACTACTAACAGTATCTATATCGTTTTATGACTTTTGATGATCTGGTACTAATTTATTATGTCCATGGAAAATAACATTTTTGTAAGGACTCTTGGATCAAGTTTTTATATCATTAAAAATTATTAATGTCTTCCATAAAGAAACTAACAATTTTTCTTTAAATAATGAAAAAATATGCGAAAGACCCAAATTTCAAATTAAACTCCTATTGAAAACTAGATCGAAGCTTTTCAAAAGCTTTTAGTGAAAGGTTACAGCTTTCTCGAGACTACAGTAAATCCTTTCCTTGAGATTTCAGAGGAAAATTCATTGAGGCGGACATTTAGGTAAACTATTTTTTTGTATAATCAGGGTGTCTACTGAAAATATGACTTCAAATTCCAGGCCATTTTCAGGACATTCCAGGAAAAATTTCTTATTTTTCCAGGACATTTATATTATGTGTAACAGGGTTGCCACAAGTCAGGGAAGTCAAGGAATTCAGGGAAAAGTCAGGGATTTTTACTAAAAGTACTGAAAAAAATTGAATTTTTCGAATTTATAGGAAAATTCTGAATTTTTGTGTTTTTTTTGTTTGCCTTATAAACTATGAAATTATCAAGAATTCTAATACAAATTTAACAGGAATTCAATTACTTACCAATTTCTTCGCATCAATTCAATTATTTAAAATTTTTTAATGAAGTTTCTCGAAAGAATTCAAATATATAAAGAAAATTTTAAAAAATAGTCTGAAAAATTCAATTTTTCCAAAAATTTAAAATAAAATTCTTTGCAAGATTTAGTTCATTAAATTGCAATTTTAATAAAATTTTCCTATACAATTAAATTGTTTTTAATACAAATAATACATTTTTTATGAGAATTCAATAATTTAATAGAATTTGAATAAAATTCTTCGCTAGAAATCAATTATTTTCTTTCTTGAGAATTCAATTATTTTTAAAAATTTATTTTTAAAAATTTTGATAAATTTTCGAAAAAAATAAAATTCTTCTAAGCAATTCAATTATTTAAGAAATTTTAATAAAATTCTTCCCAAGAATTTAATTTTTTTTTTAAAAATAAACATTTTCACAGGAATTCAATTATTTAAAAAAAAAATTTTTCAAATTCTTTGTCAGATTTAAATTATTTTCAATTTTTTAATGAAATTTCTAGATGAAATTTAATTATTTTTAAAAAGTTGTAAAAATTCTGAAAAATTTAATTATTTAAAAAAATTTGAATAAAATTTTTCACAGAAATTAATTATTTTCATAAATAATAATATTTTTCTCTGGAATTCAATTCTTTAAAAAGATTTTTAATAAAATTCGTTGCAAGAATTCAATTATTTTCATAAATAACAAGAGTTATCGCAGAATTTCAATTATTTTTATAAAATTTTAAATAAAATGATAGAAAATTGCATTTATTCTTACAATTTTTTTCTAAATTCGCCAAAAGAATTCAATTATTACTAAAAATTTTGATAAATCTTCATAAAAATTCAATTTTAAAAAATATGCAATTACTGAATAAATTATTGATTTTTGTATTTAAATAATTGAATTCTCGGGAAATTTTCTAATAAAAATTGATTAAAAAATGAATTTCACTTAAAAGTTTAAATTATAATTCAATATTAAAAACATTATAGCGTGAATTTTCAGAAATACATAATTAGATTTTGAAAAGGGTTAAAATTAAAATCTTTGAAAATTTTGTCTGGAAATCAGGGAAAAACAAAATTAAAATTCTCTGGGAACCCTGTGTAATATTATTTCATATTACGATTAACATAATTTAAATTAACCTACTTGAACAAAAATATCTATTTTATTATAAAGAAAGTTAAAAATCAATATTGTATATACCAGTTTCTTTAATCAAATAACAAATTAAAATTATTTTTTGATGGATCAAAAAAATTATTTTTTTAAATTTGAGTAAAATTTTTAAATTATTGAATATTGAAAAGCAAAATATGGTAAATTCAAGGACAAAAGTTCAAAATCCAGGACATTTAAGGACATTTTTTCAAATTCCAGGACATTTCCAGGAATTCCAGGACTTCAAGGACCAGTAGACACCCTGATAATAAATGAGTTCAGATTCTTGACTTTGCAAATAAATTATATAAATTAACAATTTTTAAAATATGATTTGATAAAAGATTATAATAATATTATAATTTATACATACACGGGTGGTTCATTGCACTTTTTAACAAAGTCCATGATTGTAACATATGGAAACGATGAAGTTGACTCATTTTCTGGGGCTGCCGATCCTGATGGAATATATTCTTTATGAGTTGCATTATAATATTGTGTCCTTAGGAGATGCCACATATTCTGGATTTCTGTTACTAATAGTTGAGGCATTTCACGTCAGAAATATCACGATTTGCAAAGGGTATGCCGATTTTCGCAAAAGTTCGTGGGATTATAGTTCTATATAAGAGACTTCTTTCCCCCAAATTTTTTCAAAATAAATTCAAAATTGTTGAAGATACGCCATTTTGAATTTTAATATTAATTTTATAAAATTTTGAATATCTCGGAATATTGTTTATGGATTTTTATGAAATTTACACATTTTTCAGGTAAAAGTATGTACTTTAAAATGCAAATAAAGTTAATAAAAAAAATTAATTTTTAAATAAAAAAATTAAAAAAAATTTTTTTAAACAATTTTTTGTTTATTTACTCCTCTATGAGAAAAATGTTATTAACATATTTGGATTCCTTATGAATTCACCTTTAATTTCATAAAAAAAAATTGATGGAGACTCAACTGGTTCCGGAGATATTGAGTTTTTTGTAAAAAATAGTCATAGTTACAGCAGCAATGCACGACTGCGGTAACGTACTACGCGACTTGTGCAATATGGTGCTATGGCGCGGCGACGCTTTTTTTTTACAAAAAACTCAATATCTCCGGAACCAGTTGAGTCTCCATCAATTTTTTTTTTATGAAATTAAAGGTGAATTCATAAGGAATCCAAATATGTTAATAACATTTTTCTCATAGAGGAGTAAATAAACAAAAAATTGTTTAAAAAAATTTTTTTTTAATTTTTTTATTTAAAAATTAATTTTTTTTTATTAACTTTATTTGCATTTTAAAGTACATACTTTTACCTGAAAAATGTGTAAATTTCATAAAAATCCATAAACAATATTCCGAGATATTCAAAATTTTATAAAATTAATATTAAAATTTAAAATGGCGTATCTTCAACAATTTTGAATTTTTTTTGAAAAAATTTGGGGGAAAGAAGTCTCTTATATAGAACTATAATCCCACGAACTTTTGCGAAAATCGGCATACCCTTTGCAAATCGTGATATTTCTGACGTGAAATGCCTCAGTTGCAAAGTTAAAATTGAAATTTTTGTGTTCACTTCATGAACACTTTGCTTTTCTATTAAAACTTTATTTTTTAAATAATATAAATTGCATTATTCCCGTAAAGTATTGTAATAAAATATCAAAACTCACAAAAATTAATTTTTTGAAAATTTCTATTTTTTAATATTTTATTGTAAATCAACATAGTTTTAGAAAAAAAATGAATTTTTCGGTTTTAATCCTCATTACTTCTATAAATACTCATACAAAATATACTTTATATAGACCAATAGATTCGTCTTGATACTCTTGTAAAAATTGAAATATTTATAAAGAAATGGAATTTGAAAATTGCCACAAAACAATGATTTCATGAAGAAGCAATAATAATATCTTACAAAAAATGATTAATTTAAAATTTCTTGTTTTTTGGTAAGATTTAAAAAATGTTAACCTGAATATTCTTTTTGTGTAACCAAGTACATCTCTGACGCTATTTCATTCCATGTTTTTCTTTTTTTAGTCACATCTCTAAAATCTTCTCTTTCTCTATCATAAATTATTGGGCACTGTTCAACTAAATTAATTAAAATTTCCTTTGGATCAACACTTTGAGCTTCTGACATTTTTAATTGTTTTAAATGAATATCAATTGAAAGCTGTTCAAATTAATAAACGTTTAATTATTTTTATTTTAATACATGAAGTTAGTTTTAAATTAATATTCCCTTGTTTTTATTTTTGTTTCATTGAATAAACAAAATATGATAAAAGGTTAATAAAAAATATCAATTAGTGAAGAAGTGTGCACTTGGTTCATAAATAGGAATCAAAGATAAATAATAACAAAATGAACCTACACACTGATGAACATAAATTAATTGATATAGTGCGTTCTAACCCCTGGATTTACGAATCAAAATTTCGCCAGACCTACAAAGAAAAGGAGAAAACTGCTAAGTGGAATATAATTAATGAGCAACTATGGGCAATGGGAGTCCAAATTGAAGGTAAGTTTTATTTATTTTCTAAATTTAATTTAATAAGATTTCACTATAATGAAATAATTATATTTAAATTAGTTAAATTAGTTAAAGAAATTTAATACAACAAAAATTCTTAATTTAAAAACATGTTTATTCGGCGTGTAAAATTTTATTTAAAAAATAATAAAAATAATTTGTTGCAGATCCGAGGAAATGTTGGAAAAATTTAAGAGAAACTTTTACACGCTACGATAAAAAAAATAATAGGAACTGGTACTTATATGACTATTTATCCTTCTTGAAGCCTCATATTAAACACAGAAGGTATATTTTCTTTCAAATAAAATAAACTATATTAAGCTCTTTTTCAATTCTTTATTTATTTACTTATGGAGTGAACTCAAAATATGTGGATAAAATTTTTTTAAGATATATCATCTAAATTATTTTTTTTGGAAATTGATTTTGAAACTATAAATGTATAATTGATTTCACATGGAATACAAAATAGTATATTTTTATTGTACTAAAGATAATAATATTACATATAAGTACAACTATAAATCTTTAACAAAATAAAATATTAATAGCAAATTAAAATAAATAATCTGCTATAGTAGCTTCAAATAACTTACTATAAGAATAATTTTTAAATAATTTCTTTATCATTCTAAAAATAATTTTAATGCAGTTTTCATTCAAGTTTTATTAAAATTAAAGTTTTTAAAATTTGTTCGTTAAAATTAGAAACATTATACATTTTTGAAATAATAAAATTTAACTGCTAAGAATTTAATTTTAAGTCTGTAAATAAAAAAAAAATCAAACAAATAATAATTTTCCTATAGGATCATTGGAAAGACGCCTAAAAACAATGAAATGATCACTTGTCAGAATTCTTTTGAAGGTATAGTTATAATTATAATAATAATTATACAATAATGCAGAGGTTTTGCAAATAAAGTGGTAAACATTTTTCAAATTAATTTTTCATGCTATAAAAGCAAATCTTAAGTAAAATTTTTTTACGATATTAGTGTTAAATTCTGAAATTGTTGAACAATTAAAATTGATTTTAATCACTATTTTATTCGCAAAATAAAAATGAAATGTAGATTTATGTAATTAGAGAATATTGAGTACTACTTTATTATTATTATTATTATTATTATTATTATTATTATTATTATTATTATTATTATTATTTTATTATTATTATTATTATTATTATTATTATTATTATTATTATTATTATTATTATTATTATTATTATTATTATTATTATTATTATTATTATTATTATTATTATTATTATTATTATTATTATTATTATTATTATTATTATTATTATTATTATTATTATTATTATTATTATTATTATTACGAAGTTTAAAATTTAATATATTAGTAGTTTATTTGAATTATTCTATTCTGTTACAAGAAATAAATTAGCAAAGTTTTTACATTACTTTTTTCTTTCACAATCAGTTGATGAAATGAATTCCACATCCGACTCAAGGAACGTAATACTTCAAGAAGTGGCAAACTCTGAAGACCCGAATTTGCGATTCTTCCTTTTACCAGAAGTAACTGAAGTTGAGACATCCGCAATGGAAATTGACAACTCTTCAATGAAATATAACAACAATTATGAATCTCAACTTATCACTGACACTGATCAAGTTGAGGGTGACAAGATGCAGTCAGAAGAATTGGGTTCCGATAATCTAATGGAGAAAGAAACAGTTTCCATTAAAAATTCATCAATTGATTTACATTCAACACCCATACAAAGTTTAACACCTACCTTAACACTTAATCCATTATCTTTAACGATGAGAAATTATACTTCGCCTTCTTCACTACATTCAATATCTACTTGTTATCCAAAAACTAGTTCCTCCTCTACAAGAGTTAATAATTTACATCAACAGCAAAACTCCCTCTTACTTTTTGCTCAAAATGAACCTGCATCAAACCCAATACCTACATCCAGCTTCAAGTCTACCACTGGTTTTGGTTCGACACTATTGTCAACAGAAAATTCTGTTTTATCTTCTTCTGTGAACCAGTTATCTAAAACACATCGAACTAGTTTCTCAGTTTCCACTAATTTTGGTTCTCAAAATCTATCGGATAGCACTTCTTTTGCGTCTTCCACTTTAAACTCATCCATGTCAGAACCAACACCTTCACCCAGTGTCTCGCCTGTTGCCGCTTTCAGTTCTCAAAATTTGTCAAAAAATTCATCTTCTACTCGAAATCCAATTGCGTCAAACCTAAGACCCTTGCCCAGTTTCAGGCCTGCTACCAATTTTGATTCACCAATTTTGTCAAAGAAAAATTCTGATTTACCACTTGCTATAGATCCCTTGCCTAAAACACATCAAACGTACAGTTTCTCAGCTTCTAACATTTTTGGTTCTCAAAATCAATCGGATTTTGAGAATCGCACTTCTTTTGCGCCTTCAACTTTAAACCCATCGATGTCAGAACCAACATCTGCATCCAGTATCTCGCCAGTTACCGGTTCCAGTTCTGAAAATTTACCAAAAAGACCCATGCCCAGTTTTAGGTCTGCCACCAATTTTGATTCACCTATTTTGTCAAAGAAAAATTCTGATTTACCACTTGCTATAAATCCTTTGCCTAATACACATTTAAGACGCAATTTCTCGGCTTCCAACATTTTTAGGTCTCAAAATGTATCGGATGGCATTTCTTTTGGCACTTCGACTTCAAATCCATCCATGTCAGAATCAACACCTTCACCCAGTGTCTCGCCTGTTACCGGTTTCAATTCTCAAAATTTGTCAAAAAATTCATCTTCTACTCGAAATCTATCTGTTTTACATTCAAAAGTTTCTCAACAATCCTCTTCCTCGCCTACTGCGGCTTTTAATTTATCATATACGCAAAAAAGACCTGCTCAATCTACATCATCAGCATCGAATTCTACAACGAAGCAAAACAAAAAAATGAAGAGATCGTCCGTTCCTGCAGCTTCAAAAGTAAATCACAATCTTCCCACTCTAGCAACAAAACCGAAAACAGTTTGTAAAGTACCTCAATTGGACAAATTTGCAGTAAATAAAAAAAAGAAATTGGATTATGAAATGGAGAATGTACGTCTGTTTTGTCAGGATGCTATGAAGCTAAATGAAAAAGTCTATAAAGTATTAGATTTGAAAGAACTTGAATTAAAAAATCGATTAAAAAATCAAAAATCAATCAATCCAGTATTTAAGAATAGTATAAAGCCAATCATGATGGATGATGGTTACTTAAATATTTTTAAAAAAAATGGTTAAGACTAACGGCACAAGAACAAGACGAATTGTTTGAAAACATACTCACTGCCATGGAAAACTTTTTCGCCTAGTGTTTATTTGAATGTTTTCTCGTTAATTAGTTAGAATAATCTTTAAATATAATTGAATAACTTTGACAAATATTTATGTCAAAAATTGTAATTTTCATTTTCAGAACGTTTTCCTCTTTCCAGAATTTAAATAAAATATTTAGAAAATTATGTTTTAACTTTTATTACATTAAACTTGTTACAACAATTTTTCTCAAATGAAATTCCCTGACTTTTCTAGTTTTCACATGTCTCAAATAATATTTTCCCATTTACATTAAAAGTTTGATTTATATAAAAAGTAATTAATTAAAAAGCAAAATTTATAAAAACATAGAATTTTTTATTGCTATATTAATCATTTATAGAAAAATATCTCAGTTTTCAACATTTTTTCGTTGGTATTTTAAAAATTATTCATTTGTGACATGAAATCGATGTAAAACGTATGTATTTAAGATACTTTATTGCGGTCTGTTTTTATAACACGATTTAAAAAATAAAAGTAAGTAATTTAATTTCGAAAATATAAAAACTAATAGTTTTTATATGACTTTTAACTGTCCATCAATTAGGATAACCTCTTCTATTAATCGGCTTTTCTTTGCAGTCAATTCCCTTAACAAGGATTTTCCAGGTGTTTTATCATTTTTTCTTACTTTTCAATACAAAATAAAATTCACTGACATTTCCAGGTTTCCAGACATTGTAGCAACCCTGATTGAAATAAAAAGTAAATAATAAATTAATAACAGGTAAAACAGTATTATAACCTTTGACTGTTATATGCTAAATAAAAAATATTAGAAACTACATCTGCTGAAAATTTATATAATTTTTTATGCACGTAATTTAAAACATTTTTTTAAATATTATTTATTTATTACTTAAATTACTTACCGTGTGTAATTTAAATGCTGATTGAAGTTTATGAATACCGAATAAATTAATATTAAACTGTATAGTTTTATTTTTATTGTTCCTTTTTTTTACCGAAGCAATTTAATACTTCGAAATTGACAGACACTAAAATTTAAATACTGAAAATAAATTTGAAATTGAAATATAAATAATTATTTTCTACACAGAACGATTTGTTTACTTTTTACACATCTGTCAAACACGTGCTGTGAGCATGTCACGTTAACGAAACGTAAACGTTACGTTCACGTTAGTCGTCCGATTTATCTATTGTGGACTCAACCTAAAGCAAGCCCATGGTCCGATGCACGACGTGCGGCCCATTGTCCGCCTGATTTGTCCGTAATTTAAAATATATTAAAATTTCTACTCCAGTCTAAACTTACTAATTATTGCAAATAATAAAACGGTATTTTTTATAAAAAAACATAATATATTTTTAAAATACATAACCATATATACATATAACTATAATGGTGAAATCTGAAATGCAAATAGCAACTGAACTTACTTTCTATATATAAAAGGTAAATTTTAAATTACCTTTTTTTCGTTTTATAATAACAATAAAAAAACGTAATATAATATTACTTTACGTCAAATACATAAAAAAATATGACAACATGAAATTAAGTTTTTCTCGGGCGTCTCGGGCGTTTCATCTTCTTCGTCATCGGCTTCAGTGACAGATGCATCACTATCTTCGCCAGACTCATCTTCGTCTTCCAAATTCAGAACCAATTCATCCAGTTCATCTAATTTTTTTTGTAATGTACTTTTATTTATTTTCATTCCTTTTTTCGATTTATTTCGAAACCTTTGTTTCGTACTTTTTAATACGTCCAACATATTTAATTTAAAAGTTTCTTTATTTTCTGGGCCAAAAAACAAAGGGGAACTGCGGGCAGCTTCTGTAAAGTATACAAAATATCATTATGTAAAGATTCTATTGTAAAATAATAATAAATATATAACCTTTAATTTTTTAATGTAATAAACTTAATCTACAATATAATGAAATACTTACTATATAAAACGTTAGATACTTTCGTATTTCCAATTTGCTGAGTATGTTGTTGTTTCAACCAAGTAAAATTCGAAACTAGTTCATCCGTCATGAGTTCCTTGAGAGCACAGCTCAAAAATTCTTTTAATTTAGAGCCTCCCAGCATTACTAAATGATCTTTCTATAAATGAAGAATAAGGTTATTAATAAAATATTTGAAGAAAATAGTCTAATTTATTAAACTTTGCACATAATTTTGTGTGACAGAATATGAATAAAATTTAGTAAAATCAATAAAAATGATGTCAAGAATAAATAAGTTTAACAGTAAGTTGAAAGTTATTGTTCCGTCATCTATTTTTTTATTTACATTTATATTTATATTAAAATTTATAATTTACTTTCTTTTACGAAAAAAACGCTATTGAAAAGTAAATCCATAATTGAAAATCGCAGCAAAGTTAAAACTACAAAAGTAAAAAAACATACACAGATTTCAGAACATTCTTATAAAAATTTTTAATTAAACAAATTGGTTTCTTCTAATTAGATTTATAATTTATAAATAATTCGACCTTACAGTTGTCATGAAAGACAAAATATTATTTATAAAAGTAAAATGCAAAAAATTAAAAGTTAATACTTTTATTTATGTTACACTCGATTTCATAAATTTGTTTAAAAGTTACTTACAACTTTTTGTAATATTTCATCTAAAGTATTGTTTTCTAATTCAAAAAACTGTTCCATTGTCTTCATTGGGAATCCCTTCAAAGGTTCATATAATGTATGAGAAGGTTGCTTCATACCAAAATGTAATTGTAGCAATTCTATAATTTCTACATTTTGCTGTCGAAGAATTTCCATTTGATTTTTAATTTTTCTGCAAATGCATAAATTCATTAGAAATCTATGTATATCTTTATGTTTACCTTAGGAATCCAAAAGGATGTGCCTTCAAAGTAGTGTTTTCATAATACATATTTTAATAAACAAGAATTTTACTTACGACAAACGTTCTTGAAGTTCTAACTGTCAATTTAAATTGTTCAGCGATTCTGAAGTAAAATTTAAAATAGGAACATTCTGTATAAGAAGATTTTCATTAGTCTTTGACGAGCCAGGAAGATAGTTGCCACTTTCAATGGTTTCGTTCAAAATAAAAGCATCCTGTGTTTGTGTTCTACAATAATTTAAATACATATTTTAAATTTTACTCTCCGTTCAGAAATCATTTTTTTAAAATTAGAACAGTATTATTTAGAAAATAAAAAAAAATTCTTAATCCTAATAAAAAATTTTTTAAAGTGAGTCAATTATTATATATAAAATTAAGTAAAGAAGAGGAAGACGTACAAAATTTGAAGAATGAAACAAATATATACATTTTTTTAATAATTTAAAAATTTTAGTCATCATGTATGAATTATAAAGAACTATTCAGTTTTAAACTCACTGTCTGATGGAATTACTTTCATTAATTATCGAAGATGATGATTGATGTGGTTGAGAATTTAAATCTTTTGATTTAACACTGTTAGGAAGGTTCGAACTTGAATCTAGAGAAAGACTCTCGTCAGTTTTAGAAGAATTCTTAGTTGATTTCCTAAAAAGTTTGGTAATTAAGATTTTTCTTTGGAAATTTTAAATAAAACATTTATTAGTAAAAATGATAGTAGAAATTTTACATTTCTACTTACGGTTTAACAGAATCATTTTTATTAGCATGCACAGGTGATGATTGTGCAGATTTGAATGTCGAAGCCTTTGACTTTGTAAATGTAACTTTTCAGTAAATGTGACTTTTCTTAAATTGTAACTTTTTTTAAATGTAATGTAACTTTTCAGAAGTAGAAGAGATATTAACGGATTTCCTAAAAAAAGTAGTAAATATTATAAAAGATTTATAAATATTATAGAAAATAAAAATAGAAAATTATAAGTTCTCTTACTTATTTATATCTACGTCTGAATTTTTTAGCGTTGTTTTTTCATTATTAACTGTTTGTGCATACTTCTTAAGGTTTTCGAACTGTTCCTTAATCGAAGAGTAATTTTTTGCTCTTTTTGATGGTCTTTCATCTTCAGAAGTTGAAAGAACATTCATGGGAGTTTTTATTGTTCTTCCACTGTGCGATACCCGAGTATCGTTCTTACTAAACATTTTCTTCTTTTTTCCAGATTTTTTCATAGCTTGTTCATTCATTTGAAGATAATAATAGGCTGATTCTAAAAAAATGTCGAAAATGGCTTTTCCAAGTTGATCAATTTTTTTTTAACTCATTATTGAATTTTTTTCACAAACCGTATAGTTTATGCCTTATTTGATTTAAATATTATCATGGTCCCTAACTTTTTTGAGTTTAAATTGAATATAAAAATAAAAAAATTTTTCTGAAAATGAAGGTATTACAGAGTGGTGACGAAATGATTTTTAATATGATTCCACAATAATAATAATTGTTACGAACAAAACACAGTGATTTATAAAAGTAATATTAAATAATTTAAATGACAAACTTTAATTTCTATAATTAGTCTAAAATTTTACTTATGTTTTTAAGATTGTTAAGATAAGGATATATTTTCATATTAAAAATCTACGTCGTAGAATAATAATGAAAGAGAAAAAGTATTAAAACTAATTTGAAACACATATAAATATTAATTAAAGTTCATTTATTGAAATTACGTTGCGCACCGGTTGAGGTTTTAATGATTTTAATAAACAAATTTATAATTTTTTAACAGAAAAGTAAGACAAAAATGTATAAAAATGATAAACAGAATCTTCATTACTTACTAAACAACAAATTTCTGAAAAATATTTGATTTTTTAAGTGCACAAAGTAGCCCCATATAATCCTGGTTTTTCATTTTTTTTCACTTTTCTCTTAAAATAGTCGATAAAAAGTTAGCGCATTGCGTTTGTATCATCACAACACAATTGACAACAAATATCCAGCTCAGTTTATGAGACACATTAAAAGTCTAGAAGATCTGGTATAATTTTTCCGAACTTTCAAAATTTTTGACACAATTTTTCCGTTTTTAGAAATTTTTTT